ACCCAGGATTGAGTACAGGGTCAGTGACCCCAATTCACTAGGCAGCTCACAGAACAGCAAGGATGGTGCTGCATTCCAAGGCAGTCACACGGGGCATGAGCTGCCAACTAGCTGTACCAGGTAGGACCAGGTAAGTTATCTGCCATGTTTTGGCTATTTAAACAAGAAAATAAAAGCTGGTTCTCTCCCACATTTAGTTTGAGAAAAAACTAACTTTTGGATGCAACTCCTTCATTTTATAGAGGAAACTGAAGCCCCAGGGCACTGAATCACTTCCACAAAGCTAATGGCAAAACCAAAGAGCAGGTGGGAAGTAGGGAATGGAGAGGAAAATAAACTAGACAACTGCACTTCTCACCGTCATCTTCCAGCCAGTGGGTCACGTTGATGTCTTCTGACGCTGGAAGGGTCAACAGGATCCACCCGTTCATTATGAGAAAGAATTTCAGGTACCAGGTCAGCTTCCCAGGCACGGTATTTCCACCCAGCTTTACCTGAGTCTCAAACTCAACATATCTATGGTCAACATCTTCCTTTCAAAGCTAAGTTCCCTTCCCATCTATTCCATTTCTGGACCCTACTTCCCTTATCTCTCATTGTCAGGTCCGGAAAACTAACTTATTAAAAAGCAAGTCCGGTATATTGCCTTTTCCTTAATCAAAGTGCCCCGAACTTGATTCACTGAGGCAGTGACAAAAGAGCAGCTGTGAGGAATGAGTTTTGTCTGCCATGTGCGCATTTCACAGACCCAAACACAGAATTAAGATCAAAATTGTGTACCGCATAAAAAACAAAAACTGCCCATGCAGATCTTCCCACTTACAGCTATGACTTTAGTCATTTAGTTAATGTCTCTGAGTCTCTTCCTTCAAATGGTTTTCTGAGGATCAAATAATAGTTCCTCTTTCAGGATTTAGTAATGTACTGGGACTTGGTAAATGCTTAGTAAATTGTTGAAAGACAAAAAGCTAGGAATGGGGCCACAGCTCTAGACAGCACAAAAATCTACAGATTTTCATCATCCAAGCCAGACCTGTCCCCTATTCAACCACCCCACCACCCACTGCATCGAGTCACACTGCCATTGAGTCACACTGCCATCGAATCAATTCTGACTCATAGCAGCTCATGTAGGGTTTTCTGAGACCGTAAATCTTTACAAGAGTAGCCTCATCTTTCTCCTGCAAAGTGGCTGGTGAGTTTGAACCACTGACCTTGCGATTAGCAGCCCACAGAGTCACCAGGGCTCCTTTACTGACCCAAAGCTTCCTAAATTAACCTAAATGGAAGCCGTCTCCTTCTCAGAAGCTGAGGCAACACCAGGAACAAGGGTGAGTCCTCAGCAAATTACGAGAGCCCAAGTGTAAGAAGAAACAAGTCCAAGAGGTCAATGGTGGGGAAAACAGGACTTAAGAATTGGTAGTCCCAATTTGAGAAGAACTGGAAATGACAAAAGCTAAGCCAAACCAAAGCCTTTCTCCCCTCTCCAAACCACCCCAGCCAACCAAACCATTTGCTATAGTCTCCAGCACATGTGAGGGATTTGGCAAGACCACAAAGCCCAGTTCTAACAGAACTGTCTTTCAGCAGCTGGAGGGAGCCTGTGCCCAAGGCCTTCCTCTGAGAACCCAGTAAAGACGCTACAGTAGTCATCAGTGTGGTCCTGGAGGGCAGTTCACTTCTGCCCACCCACAGTCTATCTTACAAAGTTCTTATCTTCTCCCATGACGTTCAAAAAAGGTTGGGGTCACCAAGGAAGGTAGATCTGTGCACTAGGATCCTAACTCCAGTTCTTACCAGGCACTGGGGGAAGCCTATCCTTAACCACCACCAAAATTCCCTTGGTTGGTACTGCTCATGCTCTAGCTCAGCCCGCTCATCTGCTTCCATAGCCTTCCAAGTACCCTGCTGCTTGTAAACAGACTTCAGAGAGAAGGGGTTCCTCTTGGCACCTCACAAAGGGATGGGGAGTAGGAAGAGGCAGCAAGAAAGAACTAACAGAAGTGAGTCACAGAGTGAGGAAAGTCAAGGATCGGAGCTTCTTGACAAAGGGGCATTTCTGTGGTGTCAAAAGAGAGACAAAAAGAAAATCTCAAAATAGTTTGCAGAAATCCTCAGCCAAACAGGGTTCCCAAGGGACAGAGTGTGGGAGCAGCCAGCGTAAGAGCCCAACAGCAGGGCAGCAGGTACTTTCAGCACTGGGCACTTATTCCTGTCCAGGATGCCAAGAAAGAGTCAGCAGCCACAGTGTATGCTAGGCTATGTTCCCTGAGATCTCATGGGCAGACATCTAACATGCCAGGCAGTAAAATAGCTTACATTTATCAAGCTCAGTTCTGTGCAACACCCTGTACTAAGGCACCATGTACACCCAGACCAGATGCTGTTGAATCAATTTTGATTCATGATAACTGCATGTGTGACTGAGTAGAACTATATTCTACAGGGTTTTCAATAGCTGATTTTTCAGAAGTATACCATTATGCCTTTCTGGATACAAATCTCCAATTTTTCAGTTAGCTCCCAAGTGCACTAACCATTTGTAATCCCCCAGGGATTCCCTGTAGAGCCACACATCATAGATATTCTTGAAACCCCAGCAGGACTCAGCACAGAATAGATGTACATATTCCCACTGGCTGCTAGACAGCCTTCATGATTAAGGTTCACCTGTCCTGCACCCTTCCTGAAGGAACACAGACCATGACACCAAAACGATCTGGTGTTCAAGAGTCTGATCAGAAGGTGTTCACACACCAGATAGTTCTTCTTACACCAAGACCTGGTGATAGAAAAGGAAGCTGCTCCATCCCAGAATAGGGAGATACCACTCCCAACTGGTCACTGTGTAGAGGGAAGGTGGCCCCAGGAATTGGGACTTTGACCTGGGTGATTGCTGGCTGTGCCGGAGTCAGGCAGAGAGAAATCTACTATTCTCAGACAGACAACTCAACAATAAAACAAGCACAGACACACCTCAGAGCTTTAAAAACTCAAGTCAGTTCGGGTCCCACTCTGAGAAGGGGAAAAAGGAAGACTGACTGGTTTTCCAAGTAGCCTAGCCACATACCCACAACCCTAAGGGCCTGGGAACCTCCACAGGACTGCAGAAAACCGCCTCCCCTCCCTCCTGGGCTAGCAGAATGCAGGCAGGAAGAAATGGAGCACACACTTGGAAAGAGCTGAAGGGAAGCAGGTCTGCCAGGGAAGAGTCACCACTACAGCAGGAGGGGGTGCTTTCAGGAGTAAACAAACCTGCCAGCAGCGGCGGTCCTTTCTCCCAGCAGAGAGAGAAGTTCTGGCTGATGAGGCCGGAGGTACAGAGGAGGTGGAGCTGTCCCTTCCCTGAGCCCATCTGTCCTCACCCTCTTGGCTTGCTTTTCCCCAGGTGGGGGCAAAACAGGTCCACTCCATGATCTCCACTCCAAGCCCTACAACAGCGCATACATGCTGACAGCTCCCCTAGTCAGCAGTGGGAGGCCAAGCAAGGAAGCGGTGGTAGAAGCTGAGGGCTCTGCTCTGGAGAGGAACCTGTGTCAAGCTCTCTCCTCCACACCCACAGCCTCACCAATACCAACCACCTTCTACTTGCCTTGGGGCCTCCCACAGTCTCATCCCAGCCTGGGGATCGCCCACAACACTCAGCATCACCCAGGCATGCCCAGCTCCCCAGGGAAGCCGATGCCACCTGGCTTTTCTCCTTCCCCCAGAAGCAAAATTCTTGCCCCTCCCCCAAACACTTCCTTGCCTCCAGTTCTTGTGGACTGAGGCCAGGGAACCACCCTGGCCTCCTCATCCACCCTGCAGCCTCACCCAGGAGCCCCTGGGGAAGCAGAGCACCCCCCCCCAAAAGGCAGTGAGGCAACTGGGTGCCACTTCCAGCACCTCCGCGGAGCTTTCCACAGCTTTCCCAGGAAGCTGTAGGAGGGTTTCCAGGGAGGAAAGAATAGGAGCATCTGGGGACACAAAGCAGCTACTGGAACTACCTGTTACCAAAGGACTCCTGGGGCTGAAGGGAAAGGTGGGGCTGGAGCAGGAACAGGTCCCCTCCATTCTAGGTGGGCAGGACATGACCACCTGTCCTCACACTCCTTCACCAGCTACTCTACATTGGACTTGAGAGGCAGCCACACTGAGCTGCCTCCAGCTCTGTCTCTTCTCCTTGGGCCAGTTTAGGATACTGCTGAGTAATCCTAAACTCACAGTGGGTCCCCAGCCCTTAAAATAGGGCAAAGCCCAAGGAAACCTACTGACCCTGGCTCCTGGTTACCTGAGAGGAATGGCTGTGGTTTCAGAGTAATGGCTGGTGCTGATACTCCACTGGACTCTTCTCTCCCCTGCCCCACATACGTCAGCCCCCACCCGCAGACAACCACATGGAGCAGCACAGTCCCCCTTTCTTTGCTTCCCACACACCTGGTAATACTCCCTTCCTGGCCCCCAGAGTACAGCAGACACCCGCAGGATTCCCAGCCATGATGTTGCATCAGCCCCCACCCTACCGAAAATATCCTCACCCCCACCACCTCCTCTCCAGCCATCTCCATGGTGACAGCAGCATGACTAATGACACCCTATCAGCTTCAGACTCAGGAGCGCAAGTCCCAGCCACTCGCCGCCAACCCCCCCTCGGGATTTCTGCAGATTGGATGCCAACCAAGAGAGCCAGGGGCATTCTCAAGAGACTCCCAGAGACAGGTGGGGAATGGGGTTCACGTCTTTTCAAAAAATAATAACAAACAGTTCAACAAACAAAACCCCAACTGCACCCAAACCATCCAGCTGAGAAAGCAAAAAGAATCCAAACAAAACCCACACAGGCCTGAGAATTCATTGGCCGCCCACACCCCCACCCCTCCCCCTCAGCTGCTGTTACACACAGTGGGAGATTAAGGGGTCACCATAGAAGACCCTTTATTTTTATCCAATCCCATCAAACACTTCACCCCTCCCTCGCACACATTCTCACACTCTCACACACACACACACACACAAGGTACCTTGACAGCCGCCCCTTGTCCCCACGGCCCGGCTCCTTCACCAGCCTTTATTTCCACCTGCAAGAGAAGCCAGAGAGACTGATAAGCCAGGCTGATACCAAGAAAGAAGCAAAGTCCTTCTGCTACCCCACCACCACCACCACTGAAGAGGAAGGAGACGGGAGGGGCGGGGGTCTTGGAAAGAAAGAGCAGCAGGGACCATCTTCTTGCCTCCAGTTGCCACCCGGAATCGCTGTTGATAGGTTTCTCCGCCTTCCTGTGTGTTTTTGTTTTCAATTCTCCTTTCTTAAGCCTCCCTGGGGTCCAGGAGGACACTGCCCCTCCTCCCTGCATCGGGCTCCCCTCTTCCCCGCGCGCCCTGTCCGCTCTACCTCGGCCGGCCTCCTCTGGTGCATCGACCCGCCGCCTGGCCTCCCATTATCCCTGCCGGAGCGCACGGAAGGAGGCACTGCAGAGGCGGCGGCGGCCAGCTGCCGGCTTGGCTCCCCTCCCCGCCGCAGGCGAGGATGGTGTGCGAGGGGGCGGCGCGCTCACCAGCCAATCCCAGTGGCCGGCCAAGCGGGGGCAGGGCCAGTGGCTGGACCTGCCCAGCCGGGAAGCAGGGGCCCCACTGGGAAGGGTGCTGCCGGAGCCGTGTTGGCAGCTTCTCAGGCCCGCCAAAGCTCCCTGGTAGGCTGGGGGATCCCGGCGAATCTCTCCCTGCGCTGGAGTAGGGGACCCTGAAGGTAAAATCCAGAAGGCGTCCTCTGCCTTCAGAGTATTACCTTCAGGGTCAAAGATGACAGACTGATTACTGACTGCGCCTAGGGGGAGAGCAGCCGCTGGTGGAATTCCAGTCACTCTAATCCCAGGAAACATACACTGCCTAGCAGCAGCCAGGAAAGTGTCAAGCCCTAAACAACATGAGGAGCAATAGCCCCTTCAACCCTGGGGGTGGTAAGGTCGGGGGAGCCCAGGCTCTAGAAACTACCCTATTTTGCAGATGAAGAAACCAAGCAAGTAACTTTACCCAAGGTCACACAGCATAAAGACATGAGAGTGGAGACTCCAATCCAGGTCTACTGGCTGTAACCATTGTACAGGTTTACTCCTCCACTCTCACCACCAACTGCCCCTCCTCCCCAGATGCCTCACCAAGTCAGCCTTGCCTTCCCCACACACACATCCCCACCTCACTCAGCGTCACTCCCTTGCGTCCTACCTGAACATACCCACTCCATCAAACAGCCCCCTCCACCCCCACAATGTCTTCTCCTTTCTTGGAAAGGACCAGAAAAGGTAAAGGAAGGAAGTGGCCCAGGCCCCATCAGCTCTGACCTTGTAGGCCTTCTACTCTGTACCTTGAAAGAAGGTAACAGAAGGGAGAAGACAACCCTGTAGTCCACTGGGATTTAATTCCTGAGCATCACAGGCGGCATCCGTTCAATCCCATCTTTCCCCTATAGCTAAACACTCTAGGCTTCCACTTCCTAGAAAGGTGGACTGTCACAGCCTCTGGTAGCCAAGTTCAGTTCCTGACTGCAGCATCACCTACCTGATGATGATAAGAACCTTGGTAGTCTTATCTTACCTCTCTTAGTAAAATGGGGCCAAACTTTGTTATCTCATACAGTTGTGAGGATTCCATGAAGAAATTCCACAAAGTGCCTGCCACACTATGGATCATATGTTGTCACTTTTAATTTCTGAAAGAGCTCATCAGGTGCAATTTATTCTTGAAGATGAATAAGCTGAGGCCAGGGAGGGAAGTGGCTCCCCTGACTAGTCAGGGCATCCACCACAGATGCCCTATCTCTACTCCCTACTCACACTCATACACTCAGAGTGGGATGATAGCAGAGATGACCTCTAGTGAGGGCAATCCAGTAGGCACTGAGGCCTACACCTGCCTCTTTCCTGGAGACACAAAGGGCAGCCTTGATGGGCTTCTCCCCAGAGCAGAGAAAGAGGCAGATGACAAGGACTCCACTTGGCTTCACCAGGACAAGAGCTAAGTGGTAAGTAGGAAACTGGGCTCCCGCACCTCTTAGCTTTTGTCCTAGTCAAGCCAAGTGGAGTCCCTCCTTCATCCTGGTCCCTCATATCTTCACTGTGTCTGCTGCAGGGTAAAAGAGACCAACACAGCTTAGACAATAGCAATTACTGCTGTTACTGCTACATTTGCCACCATTTATTAAGACAGTTCAAACCCACCAGGCATTCCTTGGAAACCCTACATAGGGTCACTATGAGTCAGAACCAACTCAATGACACTCAACAAAAGCACCAACTATACACAAGGCACTGTGCCAATCATACAATGTTGCTGTTGTTAAGTACTGTCAAGTTGGTTCTGACTCATCATGGCATCATACAGGGTTTCTGAGGAAAACAAGCCAAGACTCCAACCATGCTGACTCCAAGATGACCCAGGGAGTCTGGGTGTGGCACTGTAGGATAAGTGATGGACCACAAGGTCGGTTTGAACAGCAAAGTCTGCAGGTCAAACTTACCACCTATACAGAGTCACTATGAGTCGGAAACAACTTGACAGCACTTAATAACAATAGCAATTGAGTTGTTGGATTATGAATTGAACTGCTAACTGCAAGGTCAGCTGTTGAAATCTACCAGCTACTCTGTGAGAGAAAAATGAGGCTTTCTGTTCCCACAAAGATGTACAGCCTCAGAAACCCTACACAAGGTTGCTGTGAATCAGAATCGACTCCACAGCACACAACCACCACCACCACCACCATAGTAACCATGGAGTCCTGATGTGGCACGACAGGATGGGCAATGGACTGCTAATCAAAAAAGTTGGCAGTTCAAACCCACCAGCCACTGCTCTGAAACTCTATGCAGGGTCACTATAAGTTGGAACCGACTTGACAGCACATAACAACAGCAGCAGTAACCGTACTATGTTGTTGTTTTAAGTGCCATCAAGTCAGTTCCGACCATAGCAACTCTGTATAGGGTTTTCAAGGAAATGACTGGTGAGTTTGAACTGCCGACCTTGTGGTCCAGGGCGTTATTCTGCAGCAGCACACTAGGACTCCAACAATGTTATGTTGTTGTTGTTGGCAACTGCTGTTGAGTCGTTTCCAACCTAAAGCGACCCTGTACAGGATTTCCAAGGAACAGCTGGTGAGCTTGAACCGCAGTTCAAACCGATTTTGTAGTCCAGCACATTACACCACAGCACCACACCAGGATTCCAACCATACTGTGTTGTTAAGTGCTGATGAGTCGATTCCAATCCATAGCGACCCTGTACAGGGTTCTGAGGAGAGACTGGTGAGTTTGAACTACTGACCTTCTGGTTCATGTGGACTTTGCAGTGTATTAACCCACAATGTCATACCAGGACTCCAACCATGCTATTATTGTTGTTAAGTGCCATCAAGTCAATCCCAACCCATAGCGACCCTGTATAGGGTTCCCAAGAAGCAGCTGGTGAGCTTGAACCACCCATCTTGCAGTTCAAACAACTTTGCAGTCTGATGCATTAGCCCACAGAGCCACACCACACCCTATAGGCCCATCTTATTTTCCACACACCACCTTGTCTGTTATAGGGAAATGGACTTAAGAGATGTTACTTGACCCTTTGAGTGGTTGATGATGCATGGAGGGGATTGGAACCATGGCAATGAGATGATATACGATGGAATGAATATAAAACTAAAGTTCCCCCATGTAAACTATCACGTAATTCACAATAAAACATTTTTTAAATTTTTAAATAAATAAATAAATAAACAGAACTTTAAAAGAGAGAATAAAAAGAGATGTTACTTGCCATCAATATACAGCTTGTGAGTACAGGGCTGAAATTTAAATCTAGATCCTCTTCTCTCCAACTTTCTAATCTCTCTCTCTGTCTCTCTGTCTCTCTCTCTCTCTCTCTCTCTCTCTCTCTCTGCCAACCCCAAGGAGTTGCAAAGAGGGCTGGATCACTGGAACCTGACCACTTCCCTTTAAGTTATGAGTCTGAGAATGATAACATTCTCATGCCTCAGAGACTTTGCCCATGGGGCTCATTCAACTTGCAGTCAGCCCCCTTTCCCCTCCCAGGAAGCTCTTAGGGTACAAGCCTTAATCTAAATGCTCTCCACAGCTTTCCCAGATCGCCAAGCCCACACAGGCACCACCCACTCCTCCCGGGTCCTGGAGCACCCACCAGTCACAGTGCAGTGCAGGGCAGGGCAGTTGTTTATTTACACGGCAGTCTTTTCCACGTGGGTGGGGGCTGTCTTCCCCACTTTACTAGGCTCTGCACAGAGGTGGAATGTGCTAAACCAAGTTTCTACACAGGGAGGTGGAGAAGCGGGGGATGGGCCCTGAGATGTGGACAGCTGCTCTCAGAAGCCCTGAGGGACACCCTACTCTCCTGTCTTTTCTTACCAAACTGCAACAACCCCCTGTTCTGTCTCTTCTGCCCAGCCTCAGTCATAGGTCCAGTCCTGTACCCCAGCAGCCCACAGCAATCCCCGAAGAGCCCAAGGTCTGAGAAGCCTGCTGTTCCCCACTCCTTCCTACATGGTCATCTTGCCTTTTACTGGGGTATCCAGAATGCCAGGGCTTGAAGGCAACACAGAAGTACATGATGAGGCCAGAAACTCACCTGGGGCCACTCTGCCTCTAGCTGGGGGCCTCTTCTCACCTATACCTGCTCTCCCCCCTCCACCTCTATGCTCTTCTCTCTACCATCTTTCTAGACTTGGGGGTCTCACCATAAGGGACCCAAAATCTGGACCCCCTGCATGATGTCCAAGGGTACCTGCCCACCTTCTATCACATCCCCTAGTCCCTAGAGCATTCTCAGCAGGAGAACTGGGGCTCAGTCCTGCCCACGAGAGAGGCTAATGGATTCACTCACCATCAGGACACACAAAATACCCCAACACCCAACAAACCCTAAGGAACATGGACACCCATAGGCTAGACCCCACACAGAAATAAATAAGAGAGCAGGGAATGCCATCCAGACACAGGTATGGGGAACTGGCAGGAAGATTTACCAAGCACCAACCCCACATCCTGGTGTTGCATTGTGGGTTAATACACTGGAC